GTGTTTTAAATCATTACCTGTACCATGGGCGGTGCCTCGCATGGGTCCTCGTGTCTCGTTCGCACCAGCCCTTTTGACCTTTCCTCCTTATCACTTTAAATCACTTTGTACATATATCCCATTTCTTTTAGGTTTTAGGTTGTCTAATTTGCTGTATGTAATATGTGTAATGGTCAATAAAGTTGTTAAAAAAAAAATGAGATGCTGAAAGGTAATATGTGATGGGTAGGCATCCCAGCTTAAAGTAGTTAGTAATACTCAGTGCTCATGAAACACAAAAAATGTGATAATTTGGATATATCAACAAAGTTAAAGTGGTTAAATGGCCACCGTAAAGATTACAAAAGCTGACGTTTCGAGTGTTAGCCCTTGGTAGGAGCCCCAAACAGTTTCTTTAGAAACTATCAGCCTTTATACAAAAATTGTGACATTGCAGCAACATGTATGTCAGTTAGATTGTTACATGGACTTACATTTGATATCAAAGAATTGAAGATGACCATCTTGGTGGGAGCTCAATTTAGGGTGGGCGTCTTACACGTGCAATGTTGTTTGTTGCTTAGCTTTCAAATTATAGGGCTGCCTCATATTTCAAATGATTGTGGAAGCTGATTGTGACAATTTCTTTTAAGGTACAATGAAGCTGATTGTGACAATTTCATTTAAGGTACAATGAAGCAATTCATGGTCTCTTTGACAAGAAAGGAACCAATGTAACAAAGTCACTTAAAAGAGAAAACAAAAACAGGTGAGAGAGGAAGACCTTGACTGTGAGCTCTATCGAGCTATGAGAAACATGCCAGCCTGACAAACCATCTACAGCTACTAGTATGTGTTAAGCTGTTTCGAGAAAGGTTTCTGGAATAAAAGCATAGATTGAAGTACTTGTGACAACCCTGAACGGTTAAGAGTTCAAATCTTTTATCTGCCCCCCCTTGCCACTTTATAATATTCTCTTAATAAATGCAATTAAAAAAGTGAATTATTAGATAACAGGCTGTTTTGATAATTGAATGCTATGATTTTAACAGGCCAAGAGAATTGTCATCAAAGAAACCAGTTCCCCGACTAAGACAAGTTATTCCAGTTAAAAAAAAAGTGAGTTTTTTTGCTCTTATGTAGGTCAGCCTTTCCCACTTAAATTATTATAATAAGGCAAAAAAAATACAACAATACAACTTTTCATCCAAAAGAATATTGTCTAGTCACAATTACAGAGAATTTAACAAAACATCTGTTGTCTGCAGACTGTTATGTTGCAAACAAACAAGTACTTTATTAAGAAATATGAATGAAATTAAATTTATAGTGCATAAAAGACTATGAAAAGTGTTAAAAAGTCTGAAAATGAGAGTTACTTACATAGATGTAAGAGCATATCCTGTATTTTGCTGCAAGAATTAACTACAAAGTGCTGAATCACTGTTGGTTATCCTTAAATTTTTGTCCTGTTTCCTTGACTGTTTGCTGTTAACTAAAAGTTATTATGCTCTCTGAATAGATGCATTACAAGAGTATGAGCAGGTACCATGAGTACCATGAAAATATTTAGTTACTGGTGTTCTGGCCTGTCAATGCACGGCTGTCACCTGCCAGTTCCCATACAGGATATCTAAGTTTTTTGCATGCGTGGTGGCGGCATCTTCGAATGGTGCCACAAGGCCACTAAGTTAGAACCTCTCTATATTGTTCAGTATTTCTTAATGTTTGGTCTTAATGTTGTGTTAAACACCATAACATTTAGTGTAAATTTTCTCAAAGCCTCTCTTGAAGGATTTTGGATTAAATGTTTTGATTTTACTTGGTAAGTCACAGTTTGCAGCAACAACTGGCTTGAACCCAGACATTTTGATTCAGGGTGTAGTATCCGAGAATATAATGAAGAGTGGTCTACTGATTGTTGCATTGTTTTAGATGGCAAGAGATCCCAGATTTGATGAATTGTCAGGCACTTTCAACCAAGAAATGTTTGATAAAGCATATTCTTTCCTAGATGATGTAAAGGCAAATGAGAAAAAAGTGAGTACATTGATATCTGATTTTAATGAAATATTTTACTTTTAGTTTGATTTGATAACATGTAAGTGGGCTAAACGTCCTCATCATTATCACTATTTGAAGCCACCATCAACATCACTGACATCACTGCCTTCATTTCCTTCATAATATTATTGCTCAATGACTAAAAATTGCTAGTATGCATAACCAGGCAGTTCTGATCAAACTTTTTGTCTGACAGTAGTGATCTGTTCTTTTGACTTTCTTGCAGAAATTACAGAAAGAAGTGCAGAAAACCAAGCAGCCAGAGAGAAAACTACAGTTGGAGTCATTACTGAAGAGAATGGTAAATATTTTATACTACAATTTACCAACCTCTTCCCCTCCCTCTTTGGTCTCTTTGTACAGAAAATAAGGTCATAACAGAAATGGCCATAACAATGAGAGCTTCTTAAAGCAAATGTTTAACCCTTTACACATCAATATGCATATTCTTTATTCTGTTCTCTATACATTTCCCAAGGTGCTGAAAGGAGAATTTGTTGTTTGACAATCGAGAGGTTTTTTAGTTGGTGATCATTTCCTTTCTTCTCATGACTTCACTGTGTGATTCAGGGTGATATTGTAAGGAGAAATTAGATGCTGATCACTCTTAGGGGTTAAAGGGTCCATGAGGAGAACAGCAAGGAGCCTTATCTTTTCACAGCTAGTGGACAATGGATGTGATATTGATCATACATCAAACAAACAAATCTTATGAATTGTGAGATTCTAAAAAGAAAAAAAAAACGATAACCTATGTATTCCTTTCTCAATGTCATTTCTCGACCTCTTCGGCGTGATTTCTTGAGGTGTCTTATACTGTTAATAATTCCACTGATTTGAGTACACATTATTTCACATCAAGTTTTGTCTTTTTACAGGATCAACAAGAAGCCACAAAAAAAGCTGCAGCTCAAAAGAGGGACGTAGAGAGAAAGAGAAAAAAGGCAGAACTGGAATTAGTGAAGCAAGGAAAAACACCTTATTACTTGAAGAAATGTGAGTTCACTCAGAATAGGCAATTTCCAAATTACCTTTGACCTCTTTTTCAAAACGAAGCCTGATGCTCAACCGTTTTTTCGAAAATGAGATAAATTTGCATGTGAAGGAAGACTTATCACATATAAGGATGCACGCCAGGACTCGCTTTGAAAAAGAGGCCAAAGGTATTTCGGATATGGGCTATTCTAACTGAATACGCTTTTGATTGGCTAAAGATTTCCTGGAAACTCGATCCTCGATTCTCGAAGATCCAAACTTATATTGGAGCAGTACACTATAATAATCACCATGATAGCCCTTTGCGCCTGGTGGTGCATTAACCAGAATGCTATTTACCAGGTTGTAGAAGCTGTTTCCAATCGCTCAGACGTGGTTTGCTGAGAATTCCTTTTTAATTAACAAGATATGACACCACAACTGAATGGCTGGAGGGCGTCAAGCTACATTTTGAAAGTGCCCCATACCAATCATTTTGCGCGTAAATAACATTGAAACTGCTACAAAAGGCAATGCACTCCTGACCCGTCCCTTTTTTCCCGGCTAAGTGGCGATTTCGCTCTTTCAAGCTGATACATTTTATACGGTTCTAATGTTAAGAACTCGCGTAAACTTCAATGATTAGTGTAACTCTTGTTCAAGGTGAAATGTGAATTCAGAAACTCTTATCTTGGATATTTTGCGAATGTATCATCTGCCTTGTTTACAATGTGCTATACTAAACATCGCCAATGCTACACCTTTTATTTCTTCACTTACTGAATAGCTGATAAGAAGAAGTTGGAGCTGGCGGAGAAATTCAAAAAACTAAAATCGTCTGGGAAGCTGGAGCAGTATCTCAAGAAGCGAGGAAAGAAAAACACGAGTAAAGAGAGAAAGAAAATGCCGCACAGAAGAGTCATGGAGGTGTGAGGAACGACGAGAGAGTTTTGGAAAAACGGTCAATGCTAATCATACACTCACCAATCATAACATGTGAGCTTGGAGCCCGCGATCACAGTGCGAGAAAGTGCGCTTGAGAAATGTTTGGACGAGGATATGCGAACGGATTGATTTCGTTTCCCTCGACGACGCGACAGGATCGCAATGATTTTCTCCCAATAACGTGAGGAAAATGTTTTCAAGCCGTATGGCTATTCGAATATGAAATTCTTCTCATTTTTAACTAAGGTTTTTTTCCACTTACTTTCATCGAGAATGTTTGTTTTATTATTTCAAGGAACTTGTACCTTGGTAAAAAGAAACTGGGGCCTTGAGGTAGTGGGGAGTATACAGTTGTCAAATGCTTCCAGTATTTGAGTTACGGGAAAATAGTTAAATTATGCAATGTTTATATAAGAATAAAATGACCAAAATTTAGCTTTAGTTTTTAATGAGGCATGTAAAGTAGACGTATATTTGGAAATTGCGTGCGCAAAATTTCTTCACGACGCTTGTGACGAAGTGCTAATAAGGAGGGCGAGCTCGCGGGCTACCTCTGGGGCCGTATATTTCATAGACAAGTAATAAAATCCGTGAAAAGTTGTAACTTTATTTTTAGGCACTGAAGCTCATTCTTACAATTGTTCTTTTCTTTTGTTCTAAGTTATCGTTAATGCTCTCAACTAAGGAAAACGAATCAGGGCATTACTATTCATATTTGAAATCCGTTTGACTTTGCTATTTTGTTGAGTAGGGAAGGAGACGAAGAGTACTTTGGGTATTTTGGTCGCAGTGTTGAGCAGCAAAACTGGGATAAGGTTATGGAAACTGTCGTTTGAGTTGTTCACCTTCTAAAGGATGTTTGATTTTGAATCATTAATTTTTGGAACTGTAGGGCAACCGTAGCTGAAGTGGTTAGTCGTACCAATCAATCTTTTACTCTTACAAATCAGCGACCCAGTAACCTTGCTGACCCATTGAAAAACTTTACGAAAATTCGACAAAAACAGCGACACGATTGTTGGTTTACATTAATGGTTCGCCTAAGCTCAAAGGTGTTTTCAAATTATGCTTAAAAAATTCACGTGCAAAGTACAGACAGCAAGCAGAGGACATTAAGACATTGATATGTTGAAAGTCGTAACTTCAACTGTTGACCACAACAAGCCTTAACGTGCTGAAAAAGCTAAATGCCAAAAGATCACTAGAAAAATATGTTTAGTTACGAGATAGCGACCTGAATTTTCCCTACAAGAGAAAATTCTTTGATTTTGATCGTATCGCGATGCGTTCTCTCAGTCAATGTGTTCACCGACGCAGCAAATGATGAAAAAAAAAAAAAATCCAGTTTATCTATCCTCGTAGACTTGGGCATCAAACTATCAGTAAAGCACAAAATTTATGGTTTTGCAATATGCAAATACTCTATTGTTCTGATTTGGTAACTGGCAAAGCAGACTTTCTCTATCATTTCAAAGTCCTAACATAAACCTTCCCAAAAAAAGCGACGTTAAAAGTATAAGGATAAGATTCCCGGATAAGATTCCCGAAAATTGAGTCACTCCACGGATGTTACATGAGTCTCCGACACTTTCTCATCCTTAGTCTCCGCGCTGGTCTCGGTGTTATCTTCTTCTCCTTTCCAGGCCTCTGGACCGTGTTTGTCTTTGATGATCCATATTCTGTCTATTACTTGGTAATCCTGTGGTCAGAGATGAAGTTAAGTTGTGCGAAACAAACTAATGAGTTGTAATTAGTAGAAATGCTAGTTCTTATTATATTTCCAGGTAAACAATAGTCCCTTTCACAGTTGTGGGCTAGGTGGCCAAGCCTATGAACAGGAGTGAAGCTAAGGGTGACCCTGTTGTGATAGAGACCTGTATCTAGTTAGCATGATAACAAAGTAATTTGCATTTGAAAAGCAGCAACATCTCTATCATAACAAGGTCACCCTAAGCCTCACTCATGTTCAAAGGCTTGGCCACCAAGCCCACAACTGTAAAAAGGACTATTGAGCTCCGAGATTTCATTCTACGATTTAACAGGAAAAAATGAAGCATACATTACGTACTGGTGACAACATGGCACCATTGTTAAATGCAAATAATAAATGGCTAATAGCGATTTATAAGAAAATTAGATTGAAATAATATTGGAACGAAAAAAGGCGCGGAAACAAGAACAGAGGGTAAGGTTCTAGCCAGCGGCCAGGCCTTACCTCCGACGCACATGCTTTTTTTTTATTGGAAGTAACTCGTAAATCAAACTTCCAGAATGAACGCAAAGAGAAGAATCGCTTATGAGAAATCCTGGGTGATTCGTTAAATGTACTTTGCATCTTCAATGAGAACTGCTTTCCAGGAAAGTTATCTAATTGAAATGATCGAGCACACACTCTAAAGTGGCGTTTCGATGTCCATAGCATTTTATAGCAGTTGCCGCTGACCTTATCAATGCTGACTTGTTCAAGCGACATGTGACTGCTGTTAAACACCTGTACCCTGGTGTACCCGTAATCCAGTGAGCGGAACGCCGTCCATGGACCGTAATCTCTCTGAAATTTGTCATGGCAGTACTTGCATCCCTGTGACATTTTTAATAGAAATTTAATCACTGGCGTTTCAAGATTGCGTATAAAATTTCTTTATGATCAATGAAGTTCATGAAGTTATCCGTCCATCATGACAGTTTACAGGATGGCAAACACTGCGTGTAGTACAACGTTTTTATCATTACCGTTAAAATTTCAGCTCTGATCAAATCTGCGATGGTTGGATAAACTGCATGGGCGGTTAACTCGATGAAAGTGATAGGTTTTGAAATTGTCTCAAGAGCAAGCTCAATTTTAAGTAGAGAGAGGATCATCCAATTTCCGATCTGAACCAGCTCAGGGTGAGTCAGTTCGTTTCATATCAGGGGGAAAGCGTTGGTCAGGTATTTTTGACACAACTTGAATATATCAACAAAGTTGAAATGGTAAATTGGCCACCGTTACGATAAGAAAACACACCTCGTCTCATTCTTATACTGACCACCCCTCCTTAGTTCAATTTGACCTGCCATCCCGTAATATGACTCCATGGAGGACTGGGGACTATTTCGTGCAGTGGGTCAAGTTAGCGAAGAACTTTTGTACCTTGCGTTATTAGAAGTGTTTCTCTTACCGCTGATCCAGTGGTGATGTGTACAGGCGCTCTTGGATTGGTGTATGGCTGCTCTTTTGAACCGCCCCGGATCTAAATCAATCAATCATTCAGTCGGTCAAACAAATAATCAATCAATCAATCAGTCGGTGTAGGTCACAGGTCAATCATTTGATTGATCAGTAAATAGGTGACACAATCGACTTGCAGGGACGGATCCAATAATTTTTGACTGGGGGGGGGGGGTCCAAACTTTAATTCAGAAAGGACTGTTGGACTCTTTTGAGGCAAATTACTTCTCCCCCACACCCCCTCCCACCAGTCGTGGTTGCACGTTATTTTTCCTTGGTCGCTCACCGTTTACTTGGATTCATTAAAAAGATCAGCCTGTTAAAAAGTGATATACGATCCTGTCGATGTAAGAATTTCAATTTCACAGTTGTAAGGGTCAGGTCTGTTAGGGGAGGGGGTCAGGATCCCCCGAACCCTCCCCCTGGATCCGCCACTGACTTGGAGTGTGAGAGACGAGGATAAGATGGCAGGAAAAGCCTGAAAACTCTGTGAATGGGAATGGTAATTGAAAAGGAAATGGGAAGAAAGGTATGGGAATGTGAATGAAAATTGATTTGGTAGAATTGAAATAGGAATGGAATGGGAAAGGGACTGGGAATGGGACTGGGAATAAGGCGGAAATGGAATGGAATGGAAAGGAAATGATACGTTCAGTAGATAAAAGAGAACTCCAAAGAAGAAGCAGTGTTTCTAAACGCTTCTCTGATATTACAGTGTGACTACTGGGTAAAGTTTCTATAAACGAAGATTTATGGAGCCCGTGGCATTTCCTGATCCGCATCATATATGCAGTATTTAGTGCTGAGTTAAAACTTCCGTTGTACGTGCGTGAACTGGTGAAAATATTCTTAAAACTTGTTGAAAGAACTATAAACATTTGTAAGTTACTGAGTGACTTAGACCGAACAGTTATGTAGAATAAATTAAACTGTACCTCATGATCATACACTGGATAAAGGCGCTCATAGGAATGTTCGTGAGCCCAGAATTCCACATCCACCCCTAACAATTATATCAAATAGAACACGAGAAAGTGAGAAAAAAGTTTATGAAACATTCCATGTTGCCCTGAGTCTGTCTGTTACTAGACCGAAAGTTATGTCAAAAATATTTACTTTCGTAATAATTGTAACGAGTATAAAAGCATAGAAAACGAAAAATATAAGAAAAAAAATTTCAAGAAAGGAAATGCATGGTGTCGATAGTGACTTGTCTTTGCGTTTGGCAATCGATAGCTCGTAAAAAACAACTAATGAAAATCTGTGTATGATTCTGCCGAGTTTACAACAGCTCATATACCATGTAGGCTGCGTTGTATAATTACTTACGGGGCAATTTTGACTTTCGGTTGGAAACTTCTGGTTGTCTACTTTAAAAGCAATTTTGCCTTGAATGTCTATGCGGGTTGCTTTGCTGTAAGTTTGAAGGAGTATTAATTGTTCATCCGCGAGTCAGCCAGAGAATTGGCGAGTGAAGATTTCAACATCACATAAGCTTAAAATAAGGAGGTTATAGAATAGCTTTCGGTTAATGTGACGTAGTTTCCGCAGAACAATTACCATGTCTATATAAAAGATCTTCTAAAGGAAAGAGCTTCGCCGAAGATAATCCTGTCCTTATCTACAAAACAAAGAAATAAGACAATAAACAAAGTTGTATGTTGAAAGTGTAAATGCTCAAAGACGCCTGTGCAAACCTTCTGTCCAAGAACTATTTGACCCAGCCTGCCGCAACATGACTGGTGTTGTGTTTTATCTTCAGGACTAGATTCCTCTCGGGTAACAAAAGTTCAATTAGCATTTTAACGCCCAACATCTGATTGTTAATTCTCTCCTCTTGCTGCAATAAATTTCCTTGTTCATTAGTTATGGGAAATTAGGTCTACTCTGGGACCATAAGTTGCCTGAAGTCTCCTCAAGTTGCCTTAAGTTGCCGTAAGTCGCCTTACGTTGCCTTAAGTCGCTATTGGTTACGCAATGTTGTAAGGGTTCTACCCATCCCAATTGACCCCTAATCATGACTATTGAGTTTATTGCAAGGGATTCTGAAAATATTTTTAAGGTTTATGGAGAGACTGTTGCTAACTTTGATTCTATCACTTCAGTCGAATAAAATCGCTTTAAGTCGCCTTGAGTCGCCTTAAATTGCCTTAAATCGCCTAAAGTCGCAATGTTTTTTTCTGCCAATTTTGCTTAAGTCGCCTTAAGTCGCCTTAAGTGGCCTTAAATCGCCCAAAGTCGCCCAAAGTTACGGCGACTTAAGGCCCCAGAATAGGCCTGGAACTTGGAGTTAGATCAAGATAAAAACTTCTACCTGATAAGTTTCCATAATCCCATTACCTATTTGCTGGATAATGTGTGGAGATTATAGGAAGAAGTTACATGTTAATCACTTCTAGGATTTAAAGGGTTAAAGACAAGGGCAGCCCTTATGAGTTCGAATCGACATCTTAAGTTTATCATCTGCCGTGTATAATCCACTGAGAAATGCAAGCTGAGTAGGTTAGAGCTAGGAACAAGCAAGTCGATTAGGATAACAGAAAACTGCTCACTTAGTGATTTGGTTTTATCATCTAAGTTGATAATGTAAATTAGCCACCGTGAAGAGTTTAAAAGCTAACGTTTCGAGCGTTAGCCCTTCGTCATTCGCTCTGACGAAGGGCTAACGCTCGAAACGTCAGCTTTTAAACTCTTTACGGTGGCCAATTTACA